AGCATAAAATTTTTTAAATAAAACTTCATGTTCCACATGTAAATTCAAGATAAGGAAATGTTCTAGTCATTTCAATACATTAAAAGCATAAACAGCTTTATAATCAATGCCTATAAGGAGGGAGAAGCCCTAAGAGTTTTAAAAAATAGAGCTTCTTATAATGTTTGGTTACAATGTTCACATCCCTTGTATCTCTTCCAAAGACCATGAAGTAAAACTCTTAGCTAAAGCTGAATGGGGTTTTCATGTCTTTTTCATTTATTCTGCTCTAACAAACTATATTGCCCCTTTCTCCTTTTCATCCCTTCCTTCTAATTCCTTCTCATTAGCTTTAAATTACTTTTCACTGTACCAATGAGATTTCAAAGCCCATGTTGCTGATCTCTAAACTTTCTTGCATTCAAAATTAAACTATGCCATAAAAAGAGAAAATGATTCCCAGATTCCCACTGATTCCTAGAAGACCTATGCAGATTTAAAATTTAAAACCTAGATGAGCACTGATCCAGGGCTATACATTACTATGAAGTCTTTCAATACTGGTCCCCTTGCAGTAAAATAATTTTCAGAATGGATAACTGTGTATATGTATGGATTAGGACTTTCATAATGGTAGGCACATAAGATATTTTCAAGGCATTTTGTAATATAATTAACTCTGATAAAATTAATCATAGTTGCAGAGCTTATAGAAATTGCTACTTCCAGTGCAATCCTATGTACATTCTTTTTGAAATAAATTCCAGAGAAATATGCAAAGGATTACAGCCTGAGGATTTGAAAAAGGTTCATCATGGAACAGCATGAGTTTTCTTAAAATCAAAATTCAATTATGAAACTTGCAAGTATAACCATAGAGGTGGTTCAGAATAGTCAGAAGTAAATACAAAACACTAATTTTCAAATCATTAAAGTTGCCATATCTTTTTCCAGCTTGCTGGCTTTTTCAGAAGCTGCTCCCAGCTGTCTCTGTATGCATGTGCGCATACAATCATAGAGACAGCCAAGTCAGACATCCAGGATTCAGGAAGACTTTCCAACACTAAATAGAATTTAGCAAACCCTATGAAGACTAATCCCAAATAAATCTGTAGGTGTGTTGCAGACTAGGCCAAAAAACACTGGAAAATAATATGCTGAAGTGTACAGTAATATTCATAATTGCATGTTTGCTCTGTTGGTTGTTATTCTTACTTAAAATTGTAACTTTAAGCTGACAATCTAAAGCTCACATACTGGATACTCCCATGCTTTCCATCAATTAAAATTTAATACTAAATATTTACAGTATAGGGTAAGCCATATCTTTATTAAATCATACTTATGAATGAGCAAAAAATAATTAATATATGCATTAAATGTACTAATGTAAATGGACAGAATTTCAAATTAGTTAGGTGATAAATATGGATAAGTAACCATATAAAAATTGATCATCTTCCAATCCTGAGGAAACTATGTGTGTAATTTATATACGTACATGCTGAAAATCATCTCTTTATATACTATATTTAAATTTAATTTTTGTATACTTTGATAAAATAATCTATTACCAGTTTAATTCCAATTAAATCCATAATTGTATTACATTTAAGAAATGGACACAAAATATAGTTTTCAGATAATATTATTCGAAAACTACTAAATCTCTATAAAAGACTGAAGTAAAAAATATTCAGAATTAGATGAGTAATTGAGCAGTGTTACTGAATTGCCAGTGAAATAACAATGACATAATAAGGAAGATACAATATCATTTTTTTATATTCTAGTTTATAAAATTCAACATAGTTTTGTTAATAATCTTGGTTACTGTATTATACATACTTCGTAAAATTTAAACTTTGACTGAAGTGCTTTAAATATATTACAATATGTAAATGCTAAGTAGTAGGATTAATTTATACATTTGGAACAACTAACTCCTTTTGACGTGAATGTGACTAACAAATGCAATAAAATTAGGCCTACAGCCTTTAAAGTTTTCTAATGATAGTTTTCAATCAAAATCAAGATATCCTGCTGATACCTTGTCTTCCATTTTAAAAAGTGTTCCGCATTAAGTATTAACCTACTTTTAACATCTCTTTTCTGCTGTAGTTTTTCATTTTATCTTCTACATTGTGTCCTATATTTCCTTCCTATCTAGAGTCACCAGTGACAAGGTAAAAATAAAGGACATACATAGTCTTTTTAAATTTTTCCAGGCTTCTTTTATTACAAGAAAGCACTTCTTTTTTCTACTTTTTTAGTCTAAATACTAGTGAAGCATAAACTAACCCTACATAAATGAAATATATTAACTATTGTGCAGTAGCTTAACATCAAAATTGTTATATATCTTCAAGATTATTATTCAGAAGGTAAGGCAAATTACAGAAATTGAACTTTTGCTACTTATAGTTCCACATCAAAAACAGTCAGCATTTTTGAATGTGTTGTTTTCCATAAAAATATCGACATATAAAGTACATGTATAATTAAAAGTAGATTATTATAAAAATAATTACATTGGTTAAAAAATAAATTGTCAATTCTGCTTTCCCTCCAACTCTGCCAGAATAAATACTTACAAATCTGAAATAATGGAGAATTATATCTGTTAAACTGTATAATTTTCAATGACCAAGCTATGCTGAATGCCACTCCGGAAAGAATTCAAAACTGCATAGAAAATTTATATGGATATAGTTAACATTTGAAAAGTAAATTTGCATTAATTCTAACATTTACTTTAGTATATCAATTGATAAAAATATGTTTGAAGATCTGTCCAGAGTGAATTGATTTAGTATGTATTATGAACCCTAAACTGAAAGGGGGACATACCACAAAGTTAACTCTAAATTAAATCTAAACATATTGTTACCCAAATATGTTGTTCAAAATACTGCTTTATATGAACATCTCTATGCACTTTGCAGATATATTACAGCATTTACAAAAGTTTAATATTCTTACTACTGAGGATATGTGTCTTATGATTTATGATGATTGTATTTTATGATTATGATCATGATTTATCACTTGTTGCTTGTTCATACTCTGCGAGCTTATGCACCACAGACAAATTATTTGTGTCCAATCACACTTGGCCAATAAAGAATTCTATTCTATTCTATAAATGAAGGTGCTGCTGCAGACAGAGAAAGGAGGACATTTCATAGGTTTTGTGGAGAGTCCAGTTGTGTTTGGTACTGTCTTTCAACTGACAATCAGTAACAGTCATTCTATTAGGCTACCTCAGAGGGAAAGATTGAAAGCAGAGCTACTTCCACCTACTCAACTAAGCAAGACCATCTTATCAGACAACACCTGTCCACAAAATGTTTCTGTTCAAGCCTGTCATGAAAACATTATAATGCCCAAATAAGTACTTAAGTTTCCTTTTTCTTTTCATTGTTCTTGCTTATATGCAAACTATCTTGGAAGTTTTGTGGCAGAAATGCTATAAGAGTGAACAAAAGTTATGCCAAGCCTATGTTATTATCTTACTCACTTTTTTTCATCCTATGTATATGGATCTACAATGCATGTCTGACACCAAAAAATATGTAAAAAGAAAAAAATTTAGAAACTGCAGAAAAACATGAATTACTATGTTAATAACAACCTATGTTAATATTTTATTTTTCAGCAGCATCCACCCTTATTAGTGCCTGGTTAGTGTAATAATTCTGAAAAAAAGTGTTTTTCATATGCTTTGACACTTGGAAAAGTACATACAAATAAAATAAAATAATAAAAGTTCTTTCACTATTCTGGAACAACAGATTTACTTCTCAAAGTATAACAGAGATTACAGTCAATATATGTAGTTATTACTACATTAATATTGATATAACTGGTATCAAATTCAATGTCTTATATATAATTATATCATGTACAGTGTCTATGTATATGTATGCTTATGTGTGGGCATGTATGAAGTGGGCAGTATATTAAAAATATAAATGAAAACATATACATATAAGTGTTAATGACAACTATGCTGCAATTTTATCAAGCAAGAAATGTTCTCAAGGATTACAAAAAAGTTCAGGGATAATGTCTAAGCAACTGTTAGGTTTGTCATCCTAAAACACATTACATTACACTACATTACACTGTATTACACACTAGATCTATAGAACTTAGTGATATTGAATAAACCTGTTCAAAAGTGCACTGATAATTCTTTAGCTGCTCTGCGTATTTTTAAATGAAATATGCACAAGAATTCAATCTGTTTTACTTCTTTTGATTGTAAGCTTTAATCACAAAAGTTTTCTTTCAGATATTTTCATATAGGGATGTTAGAAAAACCACTGTATGTTCTCTAACTTCAAATAGCTTTTTGTAAAAATCCTATAATATCATACAGACCCTTTTAATCATTTCAAATATATACAGTACGTTTTTACTGCTTGGAGGTCACACTAACTATTCTCATGTGACTTCAACTCATGTACTCTTAACTATTATGCACTAAGAAGGAAATAAATAACCACCTTTGTCATCATGCCAATATTATCTAGCTACCAATTGTTTGACATTTCAGTTTTCTAAAAGCCTGTTTTATTACTGTATGGTTGGTGAGCAAAAACAAACTTAGGCCCTTTGTTTTCTACCACAGCCAAATCAACAGTAGTTTAGAATATATCTAGCTTCCACCTTCATTATTTTTACATAATATACATGTAATAGTGATTTCATTATTTCCCCCCAACATACGCACATCTCAGCTCAAACATATTTTCTATTATCTTTCTATATTAGGCCTTAAAAATTCATGTTTACATAGGCTGGCAGGACTCAGACCAGTTAAAACTCCTTATTTCTTGAAAACAGATATTCCCAATATAAAATTATGTTTAACGATGAATTAAAAGCTACAAAATTGATGCATATCTAATGTATTTATCAACAGCAATACCAATTAATATAAATAATTAGCATAAATATAAGTCACACAAAAACATGAACAAATTGTGGTGAAATAGAGTATATGGTCAACTTACCCCATTCTAGAAACTCCAGAATATTCTTCTCTCTTCTCAAGGGTGAATTATTACATTCATCATAAAGGCAGATGAGTATATCCAACAAGGTTTCCACACTAAAGCATTGCCCATTGGTCTGAGTTGGCCCATCCAAAATAAACTGTTCCAACTGTCTCAAGCGCACTTCTCCAGACATGGCTGCTTCAGTTTTTAACAGACTTTCCTTCTTTATTATTCTGTGCTATCTTTGACAAATCTAGCACATTAAAATATATTACAGTTCATAAAAAGAATTTTGAAAAGTCAGTGCTTTAAAGATGGTGCTGAAAGTATAATCCATCTCAGAACTGCCATTCTGAGAACTGTAATTTGGTCAGTCTTTCCACACATACATCTACAATATATACAGAGTATTACAGAAAAATAATTACCCTAAAATCTCTTTTAATAACCTTTAAAAGAGAAAATATATACTTTATACATTTAAATAATAATAATAATTAAAATTTAATCCCAAGACTGACTCCACTCTTCTGTCATCCATATAGATTTTTAAAGGTCTTCTCCTTCATTCGAAATTCAGATCATGAAACCCAATCCCGAAATGAATCCTTCTGCATCATTAAAGTGTAAAGTCCCCATTCCATTTGCAACAACAATTCACTTTCAAGGAAAAAGCAGCAGGAAGAAAGCTATTTGAAGGTGGGAGGGCAAAAAATCAAAAGCACAGGATTCTGAAGATCTAGTGCTGGAGAATATCCACCACCTCCACCACCTTCTTCTTCACCTTCTCCACCACCTCCACCTCCACCTCCACCACCTCTTAGAAAATGCATTAGTGGCAACTCTTCAGAAAGTGGGGAATGGGAAGAAGAGAGGAAAAGGAAGAAAAGTCTTCAGAAACAGAATCCTTCCTTAGGGCAATCAGTGCCACTCTTCCTTTAAGGCTCTTCACCATGCCAAAAAATAATGTCTAGTCCGAATTTCCTCAACCTCCCTCCCCAATATACTGGGGAGGGGGAGCATGTGGAGGGGGAAAGTCACACCCCTCTTTAAATATCGGGGAAAGTAATAATTGTCCTGCCTTAAATACGGTATCAGCACATCCAGTCAAGGGAAGAAGGGTAGGCTGGGCTGGTAATAATCCTAGGAAATCCTCTCCATATCGCTGCACGTCCTCTAGCTCCTTGTTTCTCTTGACAGGGCGACAGGATCTTGCCTTTTTCAATCCACACACATCTCCCACTCCGCTTGCGCGGTTCCTCCAAAGGATGCTGTGCTGCTGCTGGTGTTTTCTAGTGCAAGAGATGAAAAGATGCTGCCCGTCTTTCGGTCCACCATGCTTAGGGCATCTTCTTCGAGTGGCGAACACTGATAGCCTGTAATCCCACCCGACTCCTTCCTCCGTTTCCTCTTCCTCGTCGCGGTTGTTTTCCTCCTCTTCTTTCACCGTCCGCCCTCCTTGACTCCACACAGCCTCATGCATAAGCTCCGGCTGCTACCACTGAAGTCACCGGATCCAACATGGCGGCCTCTTCACCCTCCCTCCTAAAGCTCTGGAGCGAGCGAAGCTGCAGAGAGGCAAACGAGGCTGCAAGCTGTTGGGAATGAGAGGGAGGGAGCGGAGCGGAGAGCGCTGGAGAGATGCTTATACGGCAGCACGGAATGCAGGGATACAGGCGGACCTGAGGGGAGGGAACAGCAGCCGCACGGAAACGCCCTGCGGGCTACTGCAGGACCGGGTTGCTAAGCTAAGTTTGGGGCTCTTCTGGCTGCGTCAAGGGCTCTCGCCCAACCCGCAAGAAAACATACCTGTGCTCTGAAACCCCATCTCGCCCTTGGGACTTTTAAAACTCTGTGGCTACTTTGCATTTGATCCAGTCGACCTCTTAAAAGCGCTTCTCCCACAATTTCTAACAGTCGCGATTTGTTGTTCCCTCCCCACCCACTCCCCCGTCTTTTCTGCGTTTTTAAAGGGAAAGTATTTAACGATGGGAAACTGGAAAGAACGCCCATTTTTCTTCCCAAACTGTGATATCTATTGATTGATTGACACTTAGATAGGTAATAATAATAGAAAAGGAACATCGGATGTTATCAACCCTTTGCATCCCGTTTTAAGGGCATGGCTGATGAAAATGTAGGATTTTTGACTAACCCTACCTCCTAGTTTTAACATTCCCAGGCAACCCACTTATTGAACCTTTTGCTGATGTTCCTTCCAGCATTTTCCATTTCCCCACTTTTTACTTGTCATCTTTGTAAAAGCCAATCTGCTTAGTTGGAAGGATAGGATTAAGGGGTCAAAGTCATGAAACTCAATGGGTAACTTTGGATCAGTAATTCCTAATTTAGGATCACTACTTCCTCATTGCCTTCCGCATCACACAAGTTTGCATTGACAATAAAACAGAGGCAATACAATCTACATACCAATATAGGTACGATATCAACCTACCACACCTACAAATTCTGGTTTAATAATCCCTCCCCCTTTTTTTGGCTTCTCTCAGTAGCTTGTGTTCCCAAACTGTCTTAGAATCACAGTTTGGGACAGATATACACATATTGTTCCACAATGCAAAGATGTGGTAAATCCATATTTGTTATATGAGAGTTATATGTAGTATTTCAATTTTCAAAAAATATTGTTGGTTATATAGTGTTACGTAGGTTATGTAGTGTGTCATTGCAGAATTCCGTACTCAAAACAGCAACTTTTGCTTCTCAATCTCTACATTAAATTATTTAATCAGTTATGGCCCTATGATTACTACCACTGTAGCTAACTCAGTCTGAAACTATGTTTCAAAATCAAAAGTATCTAGGAATGAAAGCAAGGCTTATGGTATGAAATAACCAACTATCATTGTTAGTGAAATCAAAGATCTATGTCATTTAAAACAGTATTCAATAATTTTCTCTTAATTGCTTTCTTTTAGCAAGTTTTTTTCCTCCAGCAAAATAGCAAAAACAACAATATAATCAAGACCCCTAAACTATTCAAACAATGACTTTGGGACTTTGTGGCTAAAAACATCCTTTTTATATGGCTACTGACCTGCCCCCCTTTTTCAACAGTCAGTCAGGAGGAAGAATAATGAGACATCTTTACCAGAGATTATACTTGGAAACTGTTCTCCCACTTTTTCTTCTTACTGCAGATCTCTGATCCTTTCCATTCTCAAACATTAGTGATTTTTGCTGTTTCTGGGTATAATGGAAATGGTATGAAACAGTGGTGGGATTCAAATTTTTTTACTACGGTTTCTGTGGGCGTGGCTTGGTGGGCGTTGCTTGGTGAGCGTGGCTTGGTGAGCGTGGCAGGGGACAAATACTGCAAAATCTCCATTCTTATCCCATTCAAAGGAAAGTTACTGCAAAATCTCCATTCCCTCCAAATCAGCTGGGACTTGGGAAACAGAGAATAGATGAGGGCAGGGCCAGTCAGAGGGGGTATTTACCGGTTCTCCGAACTACTCAAAATTTCTGCTACCGGTTCTCCAGAACTGGTCAGAACCTGTTGAATACCACCTCTGGTATGAAAACAGGAAGTATCTAAAAAAAACAAAAACCAGGAGCTTTGCAACCCTACATAGCGGTTATTCATATGTATTCCATAATTTTGTTCCATTTTCAACATGTTAAGAAAATAACAAGCTAACCAATACGAATAGAACGGCATGGAAGATGAATTCTGTGTCCAATTGAGTTTAGTTTTAGATTAGGGCTGAAGTTTAAAGCTCTTTTTACTTGTTTTAATGCTGTCTATATTATGATGAAGCAATCAAGTTGAAATGTGAACTGGAGATTTGATGAAAAGGTTGCTTGAAAGATGAATTCTATATTTTAAATGGAGAAATTGCAATCTAAGTTCCTCTTCCCAGGAAACAAAAATGATACCAATAGAAAATATTTGTAGCTCAGGGTTGAATTGTGGAGTCCTTGGGACTCTTTGAGCTTGACTGTTTTCTTGCAAAAGTTTCCTTACCCAACTGGGTAACATCTTTAATGCTACAAGAAAGTGAGATTTGCTTTTTATTTGTATAGCAGTCAAATGATGTGATGGAGATTCTTTAATTGCATGACATATGGACAAACCTAACCATAGTTAAGTAGTTCAGAAGCAGCGTTGGACCAGTGCAGTATGAAAGCATCAATTCTTTTCATAAAATAAACTTCATTATTCTGGTTCCATTCTGACTTATCAAAAACTAGAATAATATTTTTCTTTTTAATGCTGCAAAAGAAGTTTGTAAACACTGACAGAAATCCTTGCCTTGTCTTGCCTTCCAACTTTGAATTTATTCACAAGCTATAAATTCAATGGTCTCCAGGGTAAATAAACTGGTTTGCTGGTTTTGTAGCTACCCCCCTCAGAGTCCGCCCCCCATATACGATCATATAGATTCACACAATGTAAACCAAAATCATTGGATAAGGAAGCATGCTAGCAATTTTATTTTCTTCCATGTTTGGGTGGAATAAAAGTGAGGGATTTTTGTTCCCTTTGTTTTCCCATGACAAACAGTAAATTGGGCAGAGTTCAGATAGAATTACTTTCTTTATGAGATGGACCTTCATTTTGGAAGATTTGAAGACTGATGAATTGGCTTTAACAATATTTTTCAGGGGTTCTGAAGCAGAAATTATGGCCACTTAGAAGTGTAGACCTTTGATTTTCTTTTAATGCCCTATTCTATATTTTATAGAAGAATAATCCATCCAGTAGGGCTACTACCTGATTCCACTTGAAATATTTACCTGTTTGAATTAAATTGCATTTCAACCAATGTATCAATTATAATTTCAGGCATTTGCATATTAGAGAAATATTCATATTGAAAAACTAGGCACATTGGAAAACAATGCAAAGTTCAAATAAAAATTATCCTCTTATATATTGAAGAGGTTTTAAACAAAGCAGTTTTAGTAGACAACCATTTAGAAAAGAATTCCAGAAGCATTGAAAGAAAACGGGTATTGAAAACATGTAGTGGCCCAGGCCTTATTGGATTCATATCCATCCATGTTCAGTGAGATCTCAACAGATCTCAACAGATTTTCAAGCCAATAGGTTTCTGGTCTCTCTTATTAGGGAGACTCCAATCACTACTACATGAGTATAGGCAGGATTCTTTCCTTTTCTCAGCCCCTAAAATTTATGGCAGCTGCTCTTCATCCAAGAGTCCATAAACCTATGTAGAAAGTTAATAGCCACCCTTCTAGAAAAATGAAATATTCTAGGAAATATTAAAAAGGCAGAATATTATATTTCCCTGGATGAGAAATGGAGAAACATTTTTAGGCAGGAAGCAGACACACTCTTAATAGTCCCCATCCTCCTCAATAACCCACAGCAGATGTTAGCACTTAAGAGTTAAAGAGATGGCTAGGTCTATTCATAAGCAAATACCCTCACCCAAGATCCAACAAAGGTAGGATTAGCTGTCAGCCATAATAGGAATTGGCCAAAGCCCCCTAATTACATCATCCAGCAAGATTAAACCAAGCCTGGGATCAAGACAACCTACAAAGTTACCCCTGCATGGCCCCATGGGAGTCTGACAACCAATCAGAATACATTTCTTTCACAGGAACA